AGCGAAACAGAATAGTCAAGTTTTTTTTCTTCTGGATCAATGAATTTTGCACATCCCAAGTAGAAAATGAAAGTGCAGCCTTAACTTGTCAAATGAACCAGGTATTCTATGATATATTGTTGTTTTTAAATATATCCCTTATCGGTTTTTAAACATCTCTTTAGTCCAGGGGTCCTCAACCTTGGCAATTTTAAGACTTGTGGACTTCAACTCCCAGAATTCCTCAGCCAGCTTTGCTGGCTGAGGAATTCTGGGAGTTGAAGTCCATAAGTCTTAAAGTTGCCAAGGTTGAGGACCCCTGCTTTAGTCTGATATATTAAATAATTTGGATGTCTTCAGTGGGATTAGAAAAAAAGAAGGAAAGTCAATATAAAGTGACTTGCTTAACATGATTCTTGGAATCAGGATGGCAAAACAAGCTCTCTTATGCATAATTTTATGGAACAAAGCAGAAAAGAGATTTGATTAATTCCTACAGAATTACCTGATGCTCTGCCTTTGTTCAGGTGAATGCAACCATAGAAAATAACCCCAGGAAGCATCACCAGCCCAACCCACTGCCTACAGGCAAGAAAATGAAGCAGTATCTTGACAGATCCTTAGGTAGCCACTTCTTTCAAATTTCCAGTTATGGAGATTTCATTTGAAAGAGCCTGTTATTTTCACAGTTAAAGCAGAGCAGAGAGATATTGAAGTATGGGATTAAAAAGAAGACATCTTCGATTTTCTGGATTTCTTTGAAAATGAAACGGACCATAATGGAACTTAGAATTGTGGTTCCAAAGCACTCAATATTTAAAAAAAATAATTAAAGATACTGAATACAGAATTTCATGAAGAATTTGATTGAACTGCTACCTAAAAGTCAGGCTGTCACCTTAAAACAGTTATTGGGGGGGAGGGGTGATCTCTAAAGCTCAGTTTTCTTCTGTGCTGACATATTGTGTAGCTTCTACCGAGAACCCACTGTCAGGACATTTTCACAAATGATGCTCAAAATCAGAATAGCTCATGTGAAACTCAATACCTTAGCTAAATTACACAAACAAAACACCTTTGGAATTATTTAAAGCCAATGGGTTTAGCTGGATATCAGGAAAAATATCCCAATGATAAGAGCTGTTCAACAATGACATGGGCTTTTTTAGGAGATGATGAATTCTGTTTGCTAGACATTTTTAATGAGATTCTGGTTGGCCATTGGTGGAGGATGCTGTAGCTATGGATTTCTACATTGGGTAGGGACTTGGAAACAGGTCATCTCCAAGATGCCTTCTGACTATTAACTTCTGATTCTATCATTTGAGTTTCACTCCTATGACTACACAAATTCTTATAGGCAAAAACAGAAACCTTAGACTATTTGCCATTGACTTCTTCCAGAACTTTTTGATTTAAGAAATCAAGGACTAGGAGACTAGCCAAAGTCTTAGGACTTTCCAATGGTTTCCTATTCCTGTCCTTCTTTAGCTTTTTGAAAAGAGTAATCTTGCTGCATCTTGCAGTCCTAAAAAAAAAACATGTTGTAAGCTATTTTAACTGAATTTCTGTTTCACAGTAACATTACTGGTGGGCTCTGCACATCATTCAATGTCATCATACGACTGGCTTAGGATGTTGTGTGGACACAACCATTGTGGTGTGCGGATTGTGGTTTAAAGTTAGGTATGAACACAACCAGTTGAAAATCAACAAAACCTACTTGAGCATGTCTTGTTGCAACTTAAGATGTATTATTTCATAGGCTTAGATGAAGAATACATATTGCATCAGGCTGCTGCAAATGTTATATACATATTTCTGCAGGGCAATGGTGATTTTATTAGGTATTTGTGAGGAACTGAAATATTAAATATACAGGCAATACCTCTCACATTTCATTATGTTTCAACTTAGTTTCAAAACAACTTAAAAATGTCTGACATCCATCTTGCCATCAAATTAAAGGTGGCATTCTGCTAATGCTTAGAGCAGAGGTCCCCAACCTTTTGGGCACCAGGGACCGGTTCCGTGGATAAAGGTTTTTCCGCAGACCGGAGGGTGTGTGATTTTGTATGCTGCCTGCATCCCATAAATGGGGCTTTGCTTGCTTGTGTGGACCGGTTGCTGGCATGCCGCGGCCTGGTACTGGTCCACGGGCCGGGGGTTGGGGACCCCTGGCTTAGAAGACAACTCCATGCTGGCTGCAAACTATAGTCCTAGCGAAGTCTAATTCTTACTTTACATGGCTGAAAACTGTACCCTGACACACACACACAAAGCAATCCTGTGGCTGAATTTTGATGATAGGGACACTTACCACCTGAGGAGGGTAGGGTTGCCAGGTCTGCTTCCAAAAAATAGCGGACAAGCGGGGGGGGGGGTGTTTAAGTAGTAAAAAAAGTAGACTGTACAGCTTTAGATTACGTACCATTTCATCATAAAGCTTTTGAATAAAAAAAATGTCCACTATTTTGTGAAAAAAAATAGTGAACATAATGTGAAAAAAGTGGACTGTCCACTCAAATAGTGGACACCTGGCAACCCTAGTCTTCTTCACAACCGACACCCCCCCCCCGGGAACATTTTCAGGAGGGTCACAAAGAAAAGAGCTCCAAGTGTGTCTCTGGTATTGGCTTTTGCTCAAACCGTTTGGAAGCCTTCAAGCATTCAAACCAGCCGTTTTGTACAACACCCAGGTTCCAGATTCCACGTGCGGAACGGCATCCCAGCCTGCGGGCTGGAGGAGAACTCTGGGCGGGGTTTCCTAACCGGCAATAAAAAAGCGCAAAGCACGTGGCGACTTATCAAGGCCAACTCACCTCGCGGCGGTGCGGCTGGGCGACGAGGCTTTTGCTACTTTCCTCCCGCGTGGGTTCTTCAGCAGCCTGCTGTATTGCTGCAGAAACGAAGGGCGCCCGCGTGAACGTGGAGCTGCTGGAGTGCGAATGGCTAAGATACGTTACAAAAAACGACCCGAAAGAGGGTTGGGCCGAAGAACTCAAAGCCCCACCTCAGGTGCCCTCAGAAAACCGCTCCCTCCGCATTCAGGGGAGATTCTCCCGGAGGAAAGCGTCCCTAAGTTTTGCAGCCTGCTCCCCTCCAGACCCACCCCCTCCACCGTCTTCTGGTGGTTGGACTTCCGGGTAACAAAAAGCTTCCGAACCTGGTTAGGGTCTCTTTTAAGCCCCAAAGGTGGTTCCGTGCGCGAATTCCGGAGACGCGTGGAAGCCGTTTCCCAGGGAAGTTGGGAACGCGGGCTTGCCGCTTTAAAAAAGCGCGTGCGCTTGCAGAGCGCGTGTTTCTCCCACAATAAAACTCCGTCCCAAGTACACGCGTTTCAGCTTAAGCTGTTTTTTTTTTTAAAAAATACCACTGAGCCTCCTGGGAAAACTGGGCCGAATGCAGAATATCAAGCTTGGAAGGGTGGGGGTGGGGGTGGGGTGGGGGGTCTCCCTTTTACCTACTCAGCGAATTCAATGACCAAACACCTAACCAAAAGCAAAAAAAATAAAAAATAAAATAAAATAAATCCCAACCAGATTTTACTTTGATCTAAGGCCCTGCTGCTCTTCCTCCCTCCCTCTCTTCCTCCCTCTCCCCCCTCCCTCTCCTGTGAGCTCCTGACTCAATTGCGGCTTCAAAGTTTCTGGTCCGCATCGTTTTCTGCCCTGCTGCATACCGCGGACCAAGGAGTGTCGCAGACCAGTAAAAAAAAAAATAAAAAAAATGGTGTGTGTGTGCGTGTCGGTCCTGGTGAGAGAGAGCGGCGATTCCATTGCCTGGAGCAGGCTGGGTGTGGGGTAGCTTGTCTATTGCAGCAGGTAATGTTGAGCGCTAGGACCTGGGAGAGCCCCTCCGCCGCCCGCAAGCTGGACTACCTTAAACCCAGCCCAATGCCTCTTCCTGCGCCACTTTTCCCTGCGTGCTTGGATGGGAGAGCCACAGACGAGAGCCGCAGCAGCAGCAGCAGCAGCAGCAGCTCGGGGCTGGAGTACAACATCGCCCGGCCAGCTCTGCCGAAGCTACACCTGTTCCGAAGCAACTCGACGAAAAGATCCTCCGCGCTTGGACGGAGCTGCCTTTCCCGCTTGGCCTGGGTGGTTCGGGGCTGGAACGTCGGCCGGGCTGAACCGAGGAGCATCATCCGCGTAGGATTCTGGATAAATAGATCTGGACGTCAAAAAGTTTTTAAAATATTATTCTTTTAAGAAATCCCGTTCTCCTTTCGGGGGGGGGAGGATTTGCCTCGGCCAGCAAATGTGAATGTCCCCCCCCTCCGTTCTTCTCCCCCCCCTTCCCCTCCTTTTTAGGATTCATGCTGATAGATGCGGTCTGGTATAGACTAAAAAGAGCGCATGTCTTTTGGGGAGCAGAACCCATAAAAAAAAAAAGCCTGGCGTCGGCCGGGCATCTGAGATGCCGTATATCGATCATGCCTGTCCCCACTGCCCTCTGTAACGCCTAAGGCGCCGAAGTTGCTATGGTCATTCCGCTCCTAAACCCAATGGAGAAACTACGGATTTTTATTCTTTTTACGGCTGGATCGGCAGAAGACCTCACCGCCTGCTAAGAGCCCCGGGAACGTAGACCTCGTCCGCTGCTTCTAGACCCACAACCCGAGGGGGGCTGAGAGAGAGCTATGTCCCGGTGCGGAGCGAGCGCGCTGCTTTTTTCAGACTGAGTGGCGATTTGACCTTGAACCCGAGGCCAGCCAGCCAGCCAAAACAGCCGGCTGCTTTACTCTGGGTGTCACTTTTTCTTTTTTCTTAGTTTGGAATCCGTGCGATTATTGATGGATTAAAACAGAAATCTTTTTTTTTTTCTCCCACCTTCCCTCTATGTAACTGCAAGTGGAAAGGGGGGAAGAACGGAGCGGGAACCCATTCTTTACAAAAAAAAAAAAAATTAAAAGAAGAACAATCTTAGGTTGGCCACCAGCAGTTACAATTTGCTGCCCCCCCCCCCAAAAAAAGCCCTTACCTTCCCCCTCCTCCTCCTCCCCTCCTCCCCCCCTCCTGATGGCTCCTTTAGGTGAAGTTGGGAACTATCTCGGGGTCCAAGACGCGGGGCCCTTTGGGAACGTGCCCGTGTTGCCGGCGGACAGCCCGGTTTTGCTAAGCGACCACCTGGGGCAGTCCGAAGCAGGTGGACTCCCCCGGGGGCCTGCGGTAACGGACTTGGATCACTTAAAAGGCATCCTGAGGCGGAGGCAACTCTATTGCAGGACTGGATTTCATTTAGAGATTTTCCTCAATGGTACGATCCAAGGAACCAGGCAAGACCACAGCAGATTTGGTAGGTATGGGCGGTTGGGTGCCACCCCTGGTGGCCGTGGGAGGGCTATGCCAGAAGTCGTCCTGACCCCTTTCCTGCGCAAGGGGGGGGGCGGGGAGGAAAAGGAGTGGGCGCTGCTGGGGGGGATGGCACTGTGGTGAAGCCCAGCAAGTGTCCAAGTAAGAGTGGGAAAAAAGAGCATTGTAGCTTGATAAAAAATCACAGATGCGGCCCGCGCTCTCTCTTTCTTTCCTTCCTTTGCTTAGGAGTAAATGCGAGCGTTTAATAACGAGAGGGAAGGGTCCTCTTTCCGCAGAGGTGCAGCCCGTCTTCCAGTGAATCCGTTTCCAATCGGGGCAGGAATTCTCTGCCTGTTTAGCTGGGCGTCTCTTCAACTCTTTTTTAAGTAAGCGCCAAGCAGACGTGCAGAGAATTGGGCTTTTCACTTTCGTAATCCTGTCAAGTGTTTTCACGACCTGTTCTCCCTACCCCCCTTTCCCATCTGCTTCCATCCACCTGCCTAAACTGCAGCAGACCTTCTCGGCCGTCTCGTCCCTGCACTAGTTCTTCGCCGCTGAAGGGACCCCTCTTTTTTTTCTTCCAGAGAGAAGGGCTGTCCGAACACAGCCAGCCCCGCTGCCTGTCGGTACCGGCATAATAAACCCAAGATTTTTTGGTCCCGAAATAATTCTAGTACGATTCTTCTCAGCCAGTAGACAGCTCTGCTTTCCCAGGGTCTCCCATCCAAGGAGACCAGGTCTACCCCTCTTAAACTGACCAAGTTTTAAAGATTCTGTTCTGTTCTGGAAAGGAAGCCTTTGCTTATCTTCGCGTTTCTGTTGCATGTCCGCATTCTTAGATACCCAATATCAAATGAAAGACCCGCGCTGGCTAGCAGCTGAACACAGACTTCGCTTAAAGTTTTTGTTTTTTTTTAAAGACCTCTCTCAAGGAATTTTCTCTGTGACTCAGCATAGACAGCCGATGAACTTGTTCAGCCTTTCCCAACTTGCCTTACCCCAGAGGTCCTGGAATCTTTGTCCCCAAATAGCATGATTTGAGAATGATGGGAGTTGTAGTTCCTATCTCTTGAGGGGTGGGGCTGATGCCATGCCACACATTCATAGGGACCGTCCGCGAGTTTTGGTTTATATCGCTGGGTTTTAAGTCGCTGGGTGTGATTTAAATGCACGGACCGAACTTTGGAAAATGGATAGAATGAAGCAATCCCACTTAGAGAGCCGGGCTCCAAATGCTGTTGGAAGGAGTTGACTTGCGGGGAAATCCACCTGACTGCACTTGGCCCAGATCATAAAACATAAAAGTTCAGCGGTGATTTCCCTTCCCTTTCCACCGCCGTGCTTTAAAGCCAGTTGTTACTGAACAAGATCTCCATTTCATGTCTTTTCACTGCTTTCAAGGGCCATTTGGAAATGCCGCAGTTGGGTAAGGAAAGGATGTCCTTCGAAGGGGAAACGTGAACAGGTCTTCTTATAACCCTCCACCTCCTTTTATTCTGGCCTGAATTGGGTTTCCTTAGCTCTGAGGACACGCATCCGCTTTTCAGCCCACCCCCAACACGGTTTTCGAAGAGAATCAGACTTGCGAGGCTCCTAAGAACACCTTTTCTAATAAAAGGTTGTTAAAAGTGTGGCCGTCTCCTACACGCGGGTGTGTGTGTGTGTGTGTGTGTGTGTGAGAGAGAGAGAGAGAGAGAGAGACATTGAAAGGAATCTAAGAGGAGGTAGCAATTCCCGAGGGAAGAAAGTTGGGCTATTAAACAAGAATTGGTTTTGAGCCTGCTCTTGTCTTCCGCACGCCCCTTTTGCTCCGAAATGGCCCTTACGCAGCGGTTGAGATCTGGTGCAGGGTGTGAGCCTGGCTATATGTATACATATATATGCGCGCGCTCAAAAGACCGGGCTGGAGGCGTTACGGTACATTTTCGGGCGCGAGGTCGAAAGCCGGAAGCGGCGGTGTGTTAAAAGGCGAGGTCTGCAGTCGGGTCTAATGCTCAGCACCAGTCCGCGGACTCAGCCGACAGCAGGTGTACGGTGGCCGAGCTGAACCTGCTGCTGCTGCTCCCTCGCGCAATTGCGCGGCGGCGGCAACAGCAGCAGCAGCTCGAAGACAATGCCGCGGGGTCCTAAACTCCGCCTACTCCTCTCTCCACTCGCTTGAGGTGGCCTTGAATTAAATAGTCAGTCCCCTTTATAGGAGAACAGTTCCTAAAAAAAAAAAAAAAAATCTAAGGGGCACTGCTATGCCATCGGTTCGGAGGAATGCATCATTTGCAGTTAAATTCAAGAGTCTTTCTTTGATTTACAATGGCTGTCCATCCTACCTGCTACAACTCCAGGCTCTTAAAGTGGAGAAGAAAGACCTTTGTGGATTTTGAAGGGTGGAAGGCTTAAGAACCGTGAGACTTCATTAGTTACTGCTCCCAGGAGAGCAGATCTGATGGCTAAGAAGACAGTGGCAAATCACTTATTCATTGTTATCAGGGAAACATCATGGGCTGTCCATGTGGAGAAAATTTGCTTAGGAGACTTTATTACACAGAATGGGGAAATTATGCCAGCTAATATTCTGTTTGATAAATCAGAAATAGTGTTTTTTGCTTCTTTGAATGTAACAAAAATTCAGCTGTTTTCTTATTTGAAAAGAATAGCTTTGGAGTGGTATACTGGAAAAATTGAAAGATTAGGTAAAGTGATAGAGCTTGATGTGATGATATCCTCTTTTCTAGCATGATGTTTGCAGAGTTGTCAAAAAAAAAAAAGTCAAGTGGCATCCACCACCATGCAATCCAACCCCTTACCCTTTAAATGTTCATCACAATGCACACTGAAAAAAGGTGGTGCTTAGATTACAGTACTAGCTGTTGAGGTTTTTTTTTTTTTTTGCATCCCCTGGCAATACCCTTGTTTTCTAGTGCTGTTGGAATTCAGATCTGGTAATTTTGGGCTGGGTAATTGTGGTTGCTGAAGTCCAAATTGTGTAGAAAGTGCCAATGTAGTCAATGTGTATAGTAATAAGTAGTAAATATGGGTTTTGCTTCATCACAGCAAATTATACAGTGAAAATTATAAGGCTGCAAACCCCATGACTACCCATTTAGGGCAGATTCCACTGAATTCAGTAGCTATTTACATATAACTTATTGCTCCACCATTAACTGAATAAATCCAACTTCCTTGGTTGATAGGCCATATTTTCAGCATGCATATATTGTATGAAGCAAACTCACAGGTGCTATTTCTGAAGCTGTGCAGCCTGCAATCTGATTTACAGTATGTCCAGCTGTTGTAAAGGAATCCTGATTGTAGATGAACTAGATTAATAGAGCAATAAACATGAAAGAAATAAAAGCTGCATGCACAATTCAGATTCCTGGAATGGCACCTGCAGAGCACAGGTGACTCCAAAAGAATAAAAACCACCTGTGGTATACATTATATTTTTTAGAGAGGGAAAAACCTAGGAAACAGCCTCCCTGAATATCCTTGGCAAGACATCAAGCTTTATATATCTTGACTTCTTTTATACCTAGTTTGGTTTCTAGATTCTACAGAGACCAGGGCAGTTATATAAAAGCTGTAGAATATGCTTTTTAAAAAGCTTGCCTTTTTATTAAGATTAGTAGCAGAAATTCATTCACTCAAAATGGAGAGTGTAATCCCATCCCTAACATTGATTGATTTCCATTCAATTCAGAGGAATATTGTCTTAGTATGTTTGGGGACTGCAGTTAGTAATGCAACTAAGATATTCATAATAGCTTCTAAAAAACTCTTCCCCAGTGCCTTCCAGATGTGCAAATTCCAAATTTCCAGCATTTATCTAGAAGGCACTGGGTCTGGAAAGGCTGTTCTACAGTCTATCTCTCAATAATTGTATATAGTTTTCAGGTTATTTACCCATTTATTTAGGCAACCACCAGATCTGGACTGCAAAAATTCAGGCTATTTATGGTAGAAAGATAGAAAACTCTTTGCTGTTTTCTAGCAATTATACTGATTTTTGCATTTGATTTAAAGTCCATAGTAGCTTCATGCCAAAGAATCTAGTGCATAAATTCACTGTGTTTACACCCTCCTCACATTGGTAAATGTGTTCAGCGATGTAAAAAAAACTATGTGCCATTTTTATCTTGCTGTAAAGTTTACACCGGAATAAATCTGTTTAAACTGTGATAGTGTTGCTTTTTCCGCAACATTTTTTTAGTCTTCTGGACTTGAAACGCGATTCTGGGTGACCAAGCCCATTTTTTAACATGTCACTTATACAAAGTATCGCGGTCTCCCAAAATTTACTCAGCAACGTGTCTCTAAATCCACGATCCCTATAAGTGGGGTGGAAAGGCGTGCCTCTTGCGTTGGCCCTACTCTGCACTACCACTACACGCATCCTTCGTGGTTTTCTGTTACTGCCCCTCCCCTTTCCGCAGTTAGCTGCTGGCAAAAGGAGGGGAGAGAGAGAGAGAGAGAAATTGACTAAACCGCAAAGTAACCATCCACAGTTTAGTCAAATAAATTCAGCCCGAGTAATTAAAGGCCGCGGAATTGAGACAGAACGCACGCGCCATTGGGAGCCGCGCGCTGTATTCAGTGAGCTCTACGCAAGAGCGGGCAGGGAGAACCCGGCAGCTGCGTGACAGGACGGTTCGCATCTCACGGATAAGGTTGGAGGGCCAGTTCTGACGTAGAGAAACCCTGGTGCAAGGTTAAGCCCAAGCACCGTTCTGAGGGGGAGGCAGGGCGGGGCGCACATCTCCGTGAAGCGCGGAACGTCCTCAAGCGAGGTCTTGCGAGGCCCTTCCACCCGCCTTGCAAACTGCAGTGCACCCAAAAGTAGAGGGCTGGGCCACAGGAATCCGGAAGGCCGCTAGGTGGTGGCAAGCAAAGTAAGCACAAACTCTTGGGAGTCCCCGTGGTCGTCCGGAATTGTGCATCACAAAAATGGGAGCCTTGTTCACGGCTCCAAGCGGCTTTCAATGTCACCCCCCCCTTATGTAGACT